ATGTTTGAAGATATTTTAATTTTTTGGTTTATTATTTTCAATAATGAACCATTGTAATCGACCGAAAAATTCAAAAACTTAACTCCCTCTCAAAATTTGAGGTTCAGGATACGTAGAATTCGAAAAACGAATAAAAATTTGTTTGTCCGTCCGCCGTCTGCCGTACGTCGCGCATTTTCTCCGAAACTACTGTACCGAATGTACCGATTTCAATGAAACTTCGCTAAAGTCATTTTCTCGACACCCTTTAAATTTATCTATACAACATACTTCAACGAAAAGAAGCTGGGGAAAATGTTACAAGGGATGGTAAAATTAAATCCCTAGTAACGTAAAAAGTTTACACTTTTTTGTGGATATTGTGATAAGATGGTTCAAAGGTATATGGTTTTTAAAATTTTACGGAATTTCCTAAAAAACAAAAAATCGGTAAAATCGGACAATTAGGAGCAAACATATGGTTTCTATTTTTTTTAGATGTTCTACTGCAAAGGTTATATATATATATATATATATATATCTTTTATTTTGGTTTGAATTTTGAATGTGTTACTGAAGTAATGTAGTATTGAAGTATATTACTATTGATTAAAAAAAAAAGTTTAGTCCAGTTGGAATTACCTTTTATTTATTTTTATTTATAACTAGAAAGGTAATGTTATTTTAGTTGTATAATTGTTTGGAAATAATAAACCATTGTGAAATAATTTGCAGTTTTTTTTTTTGTGACAATGTTAAAGTAACGAATGTCAAACTGCCCAACATTTCACATTCATTTCTTTAACATGGTGTCGAGGATATGTAACAATATGTTAACGTCGTATAGGATTGTACCAAAAAAAAAAAAATCATTCAAGTCATTGACCAAGAGACATAAATAGCAAGTACATAATCGATAGTAAAACATATTCACATTGATTTTAATACATAAGAAATATATACATAAATAGACAATGCAGAATTTTAACCATCTTTAACATAATTATAAATATAAATAAATAATTTATCATAAGAGCCGGCCAGGTCGAATGGATTAAAAGATACGCAAAATTGCACCAGTCTACGAACCCAAAGGTCGTGGATACGCATCCCCCACAGGTAATAATTTAAAATAGAAATGAAATATTTAAATAAATCTGTACTCTGCCGACCGATCGTAAGATTGACTATGTTACCACTTTTATATCTTTACAGGGAATCGCGTAGAGATCTGGACCACGGACAGTCTGTTTCAGGTAAAAAAATAGAGGTACTGCCGCACCAGCTCACTCTGAGCGGCATAATTCATGGATTTAGACCTATTTTTAATGACAAAAAAGACATTGGCTATTGAACCCCAGTGTATTTAATAATAACTACCTAATAAAATGAGTTGTTTATAAATTTTTAACTTGTCTTATGACTAAAAACTAAATTCTGTTAATGAATAAAATGTTTTATCTGCATTGATGTGTTCAGTTATGCTTCATTCGACTCCCCAAAACATGTAGCAATCTTATTTTGCTTTGATAAAGAATAAATTAAAAATTAAAAAAATAATTCTTTGAAGATATTTGCATACGTCTATAAGGCGTAAGTCTCATTAATCCACTTTATAATGCAGCATAAATTAACCATAGATTAAGTGACTTATTGTTAGTGAAGTTAAAAGGTTTATGAGATATATAAAATTTATAATCCTCTGAATATCAATCAGCCGTATTATTAATAATTAAAGAGGTTGGAAGTAGAAAATGAGGTAAGTGAAGTTAACTGTAATTTAGAAGGTCATGATTTATTAATGTTCCCATTCCTTTGACAGCGCTTAGGATGAGGGGTTGGGTTACCGGTATCTTGAGGGTTTTAATTCCTACCCACCTTTACTTTTTTGAATTAAATAAGATCCGATGTCATAATTTAAAGTTAATTTTTCTTTTATTTGTGTAGTTATTTTCAATAGCTTAGTTTCTTTTTGTTTAGCTTATGTACATTTCCATTTAGTATTATTATTTTTCCCTATTATTTATTTTGATTTATTGTTAATGTGATCTCTGAACACTATTATAAATGTCCTTAATTGTGACATCTTGTAATATCTCTCAATAAATATGTTTAAAAAAAATTTTAATAGCTCTGTAGTGTTTATTGTAGTTTTAGTAATCAAAGAGTTTCACTATTGCATTTTGTAAGTCATAAACAGCAAGAAAATCTAAATACCAGTCAGGGCATTATTTTAAATATTAATTGTCTTATTATCAGACGTGATTCGGTAAGTTAATTTACTTTTTAATAGTCACTGAAGAAGAACTACCGTAAATACCATTTTCAGAAATCTTGGATATGATTACATCATTTATTAGTTGAATGTTTAATATCGCAGTGCCTCTATGTGGCAATAACATGTTTCAGAGAGAAGTGTTGGGATCTCCCAAAATCTAGTTTTTACTCCCACGAGAAGGAGTATACCAGCCTAGCTGAGCATAAATGTAATACCTAAGTTGGTATTTTCACTTTTTTTGTGTTTATTTAATTCGCTACTATTTAATTTATTTATATTATCTTCAAGTATGAAATGAATACACTTCTTTATCACTACTCTTATCGTTTTATCGTAGTAGTCAAAAATTGTATTGTCGTCATTTCCTTTTATACCCCTTTTCGAGCATTCATTGACTGGACTACATCGAAAACTCCTGTTTCTTCCTTATTTATTCCGAATTATAGATGACTTAAAGGGTGCATTTGCGAAGATAGAGCAGGAGATGTGCGGAAACAATTTCCAACACATTTACTCCCTAATCTGAATTTCAACTAAACCATGCAAGAACCATCAAAGAATTCCTCACTTCACCGATTTCTCTCTTCATACCTCCCAAAGCGAGCCGCATGAGGTCTAACACCTTTAAAAAAATTAAAACGCCTGAATTCACCGAATAAAATGTCTTTATGTCTCAGCTCTCCCAATTATTAAGACTTCCGATACTTTTAGTGATTTGTTACTATCGTTCATATGTTTAATAAATAAAATTCTATCTATCTTAAGCCAAAAAGGAAATTTCTAATCACATTTAGTAATAAGTAGTAATGAAAATAGTAGTCAGTTGAATTTTTTTTTTACATATACATCCATGTTTACCAGTAAATGAATAAGGATAAATGATTTTCACTTTTCCAAAGCGTGATACTACTCGAGCCAAGACGATTAGTATAGCTTCTTACAACTAGATCCATTTCTTCACATTACCCGAATAATTATGACCATTTAAATAACCATAGATTAGTCTGGATGGTTCTATTCCCAATATCGCTTTCACTAGTAGTTATAATTTCTTCTATAATCCACAATACACAGTAATTGCATAGTTAGATTTATTACTAAAGGATTGAAAATTATTAAGGTTAATGAACAACAACAAAGTGGCTTTAGTGCACTCTCTCAGCCTCCACTGGATACCCATCACAGTGAGGCGGCTGAGAGAGAAGCGCTGGGATCTCTTAGAGTCTTAGAAATCCTCTATAGGTCACCTATCCTCTATAGGTGGGGGAAAGGGCCCCACTTTGACCTCCCTCAGCTGACTTGGATTGTGATAATAAATATTAAATATTGTGAATAAATATGAATGGGCTTTTATATTTTTATTTAATGTTGTCTCATGTGTTATTTCTTCTTTTTTACGAAGTTTTCATTTTTTTTTCTTTTGGTATAATTTTTCTATTGCTTTTGTTATTGTATATATGTTATGAATGAGTCTCTTCCATTTATAATATTCAATGCTCTTAATTGAGGAAAAATGTATTTCTCAATAAATAAAAAAAATATTTGTAATTTCTCATGAATCCAATAAAAATGACTAGAAACCATAACTGATTCACTTGGGTTTCAATTTTTATTATTATAATACATATTATATGCAATAGAATACATATACATATAGAATATATATATATATATATATATATATATATATATATATTATATATATATATATATATACATATAGAATAGAAGAAACATGTAGAGGTATGGCATAAAGATTGGGAACGATTGCCTATTTAATATCCAGTTTGCTGACGACCAGGTACTTATTGCTTCAGAAGCAGAAGATGTGGAATATAAGATGAGAAAAATTCTCCAGGAATATTCGACCTGGAGGCTGAATGTCAGACTGTATATATGGTCTTTAATAGCCAAGGTGCATATCTCAAAAGAAGATAAGCAACGGAAAGAAAGTCAGAACTCAGAAGAACCCAGAACTCAGAACAAAAAAATGATTTACAAATGGTTTCTGAAAAGAGTTACTCTCTATTCAGCTGAATCTTGGGCAATTAAATTATTAAAAAAGATTACTGGCCCAAGAAATGGACATTGGAGACGATCATGTGGTGTCTCTCGCCTTCAAAAAATTTCAAACTGTGAAATAAGGAAACGAATAGAACAAATGGAGAACATCCTCCACATCATTGAAACTATTAGGCTGAATTGGTATGGACATGTGATGAGAATAGAAGATGGATGATGGCCTAAGCTAATTTGGGATTGGAAACCAGAAAGAAGACGGAAGAAAGGTCACCCGAAGAGAAACTTGTACGATGGCATAAAGGAAGGAATGAAGAATAGGGACATGCGTGAAAAAAACTGGCAGGACAGAAGAAGATGGCAAAAACTTCTGTTTGGTGACGACATATGACCAATGTTGTAAAAGTCTTGAACATAAAAAAAAAAAAAAAAATACATATTTTCTCTATATAGTGGTTATAATAAAAAAATAAATGATATAACCACAATTTGATTGTATGTTCAAATTTTAAGATTTTAATGAATTTCCTATTACAATGATACTGAGTATTGATTAATATATTTGTCTATAATATTTTATTGAATCATGTAGGAGAGCATTTCTTTGTTCTATATTTATATAAATATAAACAGAATGGAGGGAAAATTTCAGATTCATGACATTCGAAGATTATCTCTATCAGAACTCATTTTCTATTACTGTGGAAAATTGTTAGAATGAAGCTTACCTGCTGAGAAGAATGATGACATCCCAGCGATACTGATGAGTCAGCAGTGCGTAGAGGTAGGGATTAGCGCAGGAGTTGAGGGGATAAAAGAAGACCAAAAGGATCTTAGTGTTGGTGACGTTGATGAGAGGGTAGTCTGCAAGGGCGGTGAGGCCGAAGAAGGCTATCGGGGCCCAACAGGCGAAGTCCGTGAAGACCAGAAGTGCCATCCTCTTTGCGACAGTCATGTCGGAGCTATAGAGGGCAGCTCCTGCCTCACGCCCACGGCGGATGCTGCAGTACATCTTTCCGTAGCAGAGGCAGATGACCCAGAAAGCGATTCCATTGAAGGTGAGAAGGGTGGTCAGGTAGGCCATGTCGATAGTAGCCGACTTTTCCAATGGCAAGCAGATGCTGAAACATGGAAAAGGGAGTATTTTAAGGATAATTGTCTTCTTTAAATAGGGTTAGAGATAAACAGTTTTAGTGGCCTATATATTAATTTTCTCCCCTGTGAAATCCCGTATCACAAAAAGGCAAGGAAGGAAAGGACAAAAAAAAAAAAAAAAAAAAAAATGAAAAGTACAATATTATACTAAAGTTTCATCAAAATCATTTTTGTGCTCTCTCTTTAGTAAAACAATGTTTTTCTGTTACGTACTGCGAAGCCGAGATAATCGGTGCACAGACAGACAGACCAATGGATGAATAGTTTTTTTTTCGGACTCAGGGGGCCCTGAAACGTAAAGATTCTTTGAACTGCATATCGTAAATTTGACTCGATCGCAATACTTTCCTTATATTGTGTTTCTTTTTTGCTAAAGGACCAGTGAGAAAGTAAAAAAAAATAATAAAATAAATGGTCTAAATAAGATACAAGGAATTAAAACCTGACAAAAGAATAACAATATCATCTCCAAATCGGTGTAGCAGCTGAGTGCCATCCGCTTTTCCCCAAACGAAACCCAAAACTCATTCAGATGTTGAACGTAATCTTTGTAAATGAGTAACGGAAGGCAAGCGGCTGCTTTACCAAGTTTAAATATTTGTTGACATCAGTTTCCCCGAAATTCTTCAAAGATGTTGAAACATGTATGGAACTTTTTTAAAAAGTTCCATTTTAACTGTTTCTATGAATATTTTTAGGAAAAATGTTTAACAGCTTTTGTGTAACTCTTTAGAAAATCAAGTTTAAAAAATAAAGGTTCTAAGGAACCTTTTTGATATAAATTTCGAGGTTTATTATAAAAGTTCAACTTGTATTTATGAAACTTCTAGAAAAAAGTTCAACTAAACGAACAGCAACGGCGCTTAAATTAGAGTTATAATTTGTCTTAAATGAATTACAGATGCTTCTAATGTGTTGTTTGTTTCAGAAACTATGAAAACAGTGATTTTTAAGATCACCTTTTTTTTTTTTGTTATTAAAACACTTTATTCAGAAATATTACAATTTGTCACAGTTAAGGACACTTATAATAGAGTTCAGAGATTGCATTCATACCGTATATACAAAAATATAAATAAATAAAGTAATAACAAAAGAATAAGAAGAAAGAACAAAAGAGTAAAGAAAAAAAATAATATATATACACATAAGTAAATAAAAATAGAAATAAAAGTAAAACAAACACCTTATATAAAACATACATTATTTACAATTTGCCAGGTGATCTCCGAACCAATCCTGTCCCCTCCACATGTGGAGGGAAAAGGGAGGCCTAGGAGATCCCTACGCTTCTCCCTCAGCCACTTCACTGGTATTTTAAACCAGCGGAGGATGAGTAAGAGCGCTACAGCCACAGACACTCATGACTTGAGTGGAGAATCTGGCCATTGCTAGAACTCCAAAATATCCATATTTACAAAAGGTCTCGTGGCCACTGCCGCTTTAACCTACGAAGGGGATTGTAGGGATGGGTGGTGCTTGATAGGGATTGTACAACGGGATTTGGGTGATGAGAAAGGTTCTGGTGAAATTTGGAAAATTTGGCTGGGATAAGATCAAGAATAAATGGGATATTAAGGTCATGATGTAGGGTTTTATTGGTTACATAGAAGGGAGCATTGACTATTGTACGGAGGACTTTAGACTGAAAGGATTGAATGCGTTTGATGTTAGAAAATTTGGCTGTTCCCCATAGTTCTAGTCCGTAAGTCCAGATGGGTTTCAGTATTGTCTTGTAGATCAGTAATTTGTTTTCACCAGAAAGTTTAGATTTTCTATTCAGTAGTCTATATAGCTGGCCATATCGTCTGTTAAGTTCCTGTCTTTTAAGTCGAGTATGTGGATTCCATGTTAGTCGTCTGTCTAAGAGAAAGCCAAGATAACGGACTGTATCTGAGAAAGGAAGCTGGATGGAGTTAAAATAAACTGGTGGGCAGGTATTACGCCGAAGGGTGAAGGTAATGTGTTTACATTTAGATTCATTTACCTTAATGCGCCATTTCTTACACCAGTGTTCAATCAGGAAGAGGTGCCTTTGTAAGTTAGCGGACGCTGTTTCAGGATCTGAGTTGGAAGAAAGGATAGCAGTGTCATCAGCGGTAAAGAGAATGTAAAGGATGGGGCCCAAGACGCTGCCTTGAGGAACGCCAGCCTCAATTGAGTAACAGTCGGAGAATTCGGTGCCACAGCGAACTCGGAAGGAGCGGTCGGAAAGATAGGATCGGAGTACTAGGTATAAGGACTGTGGTAGATGGATTTTAAGCTTGAAGAGTAATCCGGCGTGCCATACCCGGTCAAAAGCTTGCGCTATGTCCAGAAATGCACCCGAGCAATACTGCTTGCTTTCTAGGGTTGAGGATATATGGTCAACAACTCGGAGTCCTTGCTGGACAGTGGAATGTTGGGAACGAAATCCGAATTGATGAGTAGGAAGGTTATAGGATTCAATTATAGGTAGGATTCGTTTCAGTAGGATCTTTTCAAAAATTTTTGAGAGGATTGGGAGTAGGCTAATTGGTCTATAGGATGCTGTATTGTTGGAAGGTTTGCCTGGTTTCAAGAAGAGGACGATGGTGGAATGTTTCCATAAAAGAGGGAAGTGGGTAGTTCGTAGGATGCAATTGTATATATATGTAAGAAATGTGATGGCTTTAGATGGAAGTTGTCGAAGGATCTGTGGGGTTAGAAGGTCATATCCAGGAGATTTGCGAGGTGTGATTTTCCGTAAAAGGTATTTGACCTCAGAGGGATTAACAGCTTTAGGTGGTAAGGAGAGTGGGATAGGTATTGAGAGGGATTCTTCTACTTTTACTGTGTGGCTGGGATGGGATTCTGGATGAGGAGCGAAAGTATAGGAAAGGTGTTTGGCAAATTCCTCGGCTTTATCTTCATCAGATGCTGCCCAGGAGCCATCATCTCGTCGAAGAGGGTGGGAAATATGATGGGATTTGAGGATTTTTCTGGTGATATTCCAAAGGGAATTATCATGAGCAGAGAGTGTGGTGAGGTAGGAATTGAATGATTGGGATCTGAAGGTGGCTAATTCTTTTTTTAATTTTTTACAGTGATAATTGTAGGAGTGGCGGTCGGCTGGATGTCTGGTACGTTGCCATAATAATCTGGCACGGCGTTTTATGTGGATTAGGTCAAGGAGGTGTTGAGGTAAATTATGTTTCTTAAGGATTTTTGAGGAGTGATCAGGGGAGGAAGCAGTCCAGACTGCTTCTTGAATTTTGGTAGTGAAGGAATGTACTGCATTGTCCAGGTCTTCAGAGGTTTTCAGGGTTACTCTGAGGTCAATTTTATCGGAGAGGATTTGATGAAAGAGTTTCCAGTTAACTGGGCCTCTGATGAAGGACGGAGGAGAGGGTTTAGGAATAGGAGCTAGTGATACTTGGAGTATTAATGGGCTGTGGTCTGAGGAAAGCTCGTCAAGACGGGCAACGGAATGGTTGAGAGCACCTAAACCATTATGGATAAAGAAATCGAGGATATCGGGATTACGGTTAGGATCAGTGGGCCAGTAGGTAGGTGAGTTGGGTGGAAGAAGGGTAAAATTTTGGGAATTGAGTACAGACAGCAATGTTCGACCACGAGAATTCGTGGTTCTTGAACCCCATTGTTGATGTTTGGCGTTTAAGTCTGCACCCAAGATGAAATGATGTCCTAAGGAAATGAGGAAGGAACTAAATTGGATATTGGAGATGGATTGGTTTGGAGGGCAATACGCTGATGCAACGGTAATAGGAAAGGAGAAGGTTTTGATTACGACTGCGGTGGATTGTAGGAAATCGTGTGTAGGCAGTGGGAGTAGGTGATGGGAGAGGGATTGGTGCACAATGACTGCAGTACCGGCATGTGCTCTACCGTCAGGATGGTCGGTACGGTAAGTTATGTATTGTGGTATTTTTAGGAGCTGTTTTTTAGTCAGTCGAGTTTCCGTTATTAGGGCTACGTCTACGTTCTTGTCTTGTAGTAAGGCTGTTAGTTCGTGTATGTGATTTCTAACACCATTCGCATTCCAAAGGAGAATGGATATGGGTTTGATGGAAGTCATTTAAGGATTTTTTAAAGGAGGGATAAGGTGAGATACTAGGTTAGTGAGAAGTGATATCAGTGGGGTAACAAGGGATTTAAATTCTGAAAGAAAGGATGTCAATAAGCTGGTTAGATCTGTAGCATTAGGCGGTGGAGGAACATATTGGATTTGATGTTGAAGATCACTTTTTTTTTTTTTTTTTTTTTTTTTTTTTTTTTTTTTTTTTTTTTTAGCGAAATCGAAAGAACTTCTAAATAAATGCTATTTAAAAACAAACGTTCTGTAAAACCTTAATTTGAAAATTCTAGTTCCAAAAGAACTGGAAACTATCGATGATAAAAATTTCGGTGTTTTGAAAATACAGATTTTTTTCCCTTTAAGCCCTGGTTTACTTGGATAGAATTACTTGTACAGCATTTTTTTAAAAACTAAATTATTATGATTTACATTTAAAGTGAAGACAATTTATATTCAATACGTATGATGACGAAAATGTGTAATTCGGATGTTGACATGCACACATTTACAAGATACATGGAACAAAATCTACAAAAGCCGTTATGTGTAGATACAAGCCACCCGACTAATATGCCAAGTTTAAATATTCATATAAGTCAACATCACTAACAATCTACCAAGGGGTTTAAGTATATATGTAAGTACATTAACTTAGCATGGATAGGATTTCTCGATTTATTTTATCTCTATTGATGTCTGGCCAACAGGTGTTGTGAAGCTTAATAGAAAAAAGCTCTTTGTCCATTATTCTTTGTAAAATTTTACATCAGAAGAAAAGTAAAGAATATTTAACGATTATTTTTTTTTATAATTAATTTGAGTATGATTTTTCACATTTTAAAAATGTATTGACTTATTTAATTTAGGCACAT